TCAAGACCGCCTTCAAGCCGCTTTGCCCGCCTTCAAACCGCTACAGGCCCCAGCTTTCTGTTTCTAAGGGCGTTCAAGACTGCCGTTTGCCCGGCCTCAAACCCTTCAAACCCCTCAAACCCTCCCGCAGGCCTTTCCAAGGCAACTCTCGCAGCTTCCCACAGGCTTCAAACTTCCGCACGCCTTTCCAAGGCAACTCTCGCAGCTACAGGCCCCAGCCATCTGTTTTTAAGGGCATTCAAGACTGCCGTTTGCTACATGCCCCAGCCATCTGTTTTTAAGGGCGTTCAAGACTTCCCTTTGCCCGCCTTCAAACCCCTCATACCCTCCGCAGGCCTTTCCAAGGCAACTCTCGCAGCTTCCCGCAGGCCTTTCCAAGGCAACTCTCGGCCACAAGAGCCTGTGCCTGTGATTCACCGTTTCTCATAGACTTTCTGTTCTGGCACATGCCATTTACTTTTCTTGCATGGTTTTCCAGCCTGCTTCAAACCCTTCCGCAGGCCTTTCCAAGGCAACTCTCGCAGCTACAGGCCCCATAGAGGCAACTCTCGCAGCTACAGGTCCCAGACACTGCTTCAAACTTCCGCAGGCCTTTCCAAGGCAACTCTCACAGCTACAGGCCCCAGCCATCTGTTTTTAAGGGCGTTCAACTGCCATTTGCCCGCCTTCAAACTGCTACAGGCCCCAGCCATCTGTTTTTACGGGCCAAACCCCTCAAACCCTCCCACAAGCCTTTCCAAGGCAACTCTTGCAGCTTCCCACAAGCATTTCCAAGGCAACTCCTGCAGCTACATGCCCCAGACAATGCTTCAAACCCTTCCGCAAGCCTTTCCACAGCAACTCTCGCAGCTACAGGCCCCGGCCATCTGTTTTTAAGGGCGTTCAAGACTGCCATTTGCCCGCCCTCAAACCACTACAGGCCCCAGCCATCTGTTTTTAAGGGCGTTCAAGACTGCCGTTTGCCCGCCCTCAAACCCCTCAAACCCTCCTGCAGGCCTTTCCAAGGCAACTCTTGCAGCTTCCCGCACGCATTTCCAAGGCAACTCTCGCAGCTACATGCCCCAGACAATGCTTCAAACCCTTCCGCAAGCCTATCCATCCATCCATCCATCTATCTATCTATCAATCTATCTATCTCTCTCTACAGGAACCCCCCAAATAGGGGGGTCGGCGGCACCAGGGCGCTAGCCCATTCTATATTTATATATATATATATAAGATACCTAGATATAATACCCAACTAGTATTATATAATTATATACTTATCTGCAATGTAGTATATTCATGGGTCGTCCACTACCTATACTCCTTACAGCGGGTATCTTTAGGGTTTCATTCAGGGTTTCATTTAGGGTTTCTTTGGGGGTTCATTTACATTTTCTTTAGGTTTCATTTAGGGTGTTATTTTGGGTTTCTTTAGGGTTTCAATGAGGGTTTCATTTAAGGTTTCAAACATGGTGTGTTGCGGTCATCCATCCCACAATGGGAATCCAAGAATAATGGGTATATATATATATATATATTATATATATATATCCCTAGTACATGCTGGTAATGGATTGATGACCATCCCACAATATGTTAAATTATGTTAAATTTAACCAAGACTTTTCCATGGCACATATATTTTACTTGTATACATCCATCAAACCAATCACAATCATAGTGTCAATCCGTCACTGCTATGACAGTCCCACTACATCTGAAGGTGGCGACTGGTGGATTTTTGCGGCATCTTCCTAAGAAAAGTTCTCTTTCGTCGGTGCCAGCTAGAGCAGCATCAGAACTGCTACAAGTAGTCAGAGACAACACTGTTCCCTGCAAAATTATCCCCCTTTTGCATCTTCCCTTTTCTTGCCACTTGAACACTGAAATTCGACTACCCCAAAAAGTGGGCCATGGTTGGGCAAAAAAATGCTTTCCCCAGAAAATGACCTGAAAAACTGGCAGGTCTTCCGGTTTTCTATATTGAAAGCATGCTAGTTTACTGGAGCAAGTCTCCTGAACATGTTCGCCACCCCAAGCTTCTGCGCCTTGGACATGACGCTCTGCTGCACTCTGCCGCACTCATCAAGCAACCAGATCGATCGCTTCCGAAACATGGACGGCGCTGCAAATGTCGCAACACACAGGGCTCCCAAAGGTTGGAAAATGCCTGTAGAGTGATCACTATACTATAGCATGTTTTATATAGATAGGAACACAAGCAGTCTTGACATCAAGAACCTACAAGCAGAGTCTCCATGATATTGTTTCGTTGAGCTGGCGTGTTGTGTCTACATCCATTGGATCGCCTGGGAACAGACTCTCCAGTGGGACCTACGCGGCTTAGACTTGTAGCTGAGAGAACTTCAGAAAGACACGGCCTGTGCAAAACAGGCCTGGACGTGCAAAGTCAACCAGCCAAAGACAGATCAATTCTCGAGGCATCTCGAGGCACTTCCAAACAACGAACCAACACAGACATTGAGCTTCGTCCCAAACGTGTATTCCTTTTGTC